TTAGTCGTTTGCGTGGCCCGCTTTTGACTGGACTCGCCGCCGGCGCGCTCGCCCGCGGCCGCCGACTAAAAAGGAACCCCCACCAGCCCATCCAGAAACGATACCCAGAGGAATTGCCTCGACCAGGGAAGTGGGCAGCACACAGAGGAAGCCATCATGAGACATCTCGGGATATCTTGAGCCATCTTGGAGGTCATCTTGGGCTCTCTCAGGCGCTCTTGGAGTCATCTTAATCAGCGCCCCCCCCCCCCCCCCCCAAGAGGCCAACATGTGGCTAAAAACCTGGGTAAAACCAACGATTTGGCATTATCGCCGAGGCCACTTGGAGCATCTTGGGTGCCTCTGGGGGTCTCTTGGGGCCTCTTGGGGGCCTCTTGGGGGTCTCTTGGGAGCCTCTTGGGGGCATCCTGGGGGCCTCTTTGGGCATCCTGGCCACCTTTTGGGGCCATCTTGGGGCACCCTTGGGAGCCGCGGGGGCCATCTTTTGGCCATCTTGGGTGAGATCGATCACAGGAGGGGAGGGGGCACTCATTAGGCCCCCCCCTTCAGGAGGCCGAAATGCGGCCAAAACTTTGTAAAAACAAATGATTTTGGCTTCCTCGCCGAGGCCCTTTTGGACGATCCGACACTTCGCGAAACCCCGCGTCCAGGTCCATGGGGAGGGGGCAAAGGGAGGGGTAAACCCTTCCCCGAAGGGGAAGAAGGAGGGGTGGAAGAGGAAACACCCTAAACCACCGACGCCCAGAGGGCTGGCGGGATTGGCCGCCATAGGCCTGGCGACCGTACCGGCGCAAGTGCGGCCGAGGCACGCCGTCTGCCACACGGCGGCACCGCGCTCGCACCGCGTTCGCAGGCCCTGCCGCGTGGACTGGCCGGCCACCGAGGTCGCCAAGGCCAAGAAGAAAGGCGCGTCATTCGCCACTGTGCCCGCGCGGTGCTGTGGCTCATGCGTCCGCGCGCGGTCGCAGGCATCTTGCAGCCGTGCATCGTGGCCGAGCTGAAGCTGCGGCTGCCGCGGGGCATCGCAGGGCCGGACAACGGCGGAAATGGCGAAGGTGACCAGAAAGGCCTCAGTTGGCTTCTCTGGCACCTCGCGTTCGACGGGCGCCCGAGCGCTACTTTTCGCGACGCGGCGCGCGCGCGCAGGTCGCACATCGTCGCCCAGTGCGCGCCAAGGCACGCCCATGCCGCAGCAGTGACCGGTCAGCTCCGGCACGGGGCAGCGCTGGCCCACGCAAGGGACTGCCTGGAGGCGGGGCGCGCGCACGTGCCCGGCCGGCGTCGCGGCGCGCGCGCGCGAAGGTAGCCGCGGCCGCTGGCCTGCGCGGCCGGCGCCCGCAGCTCGGCGCCATGCACGACGAAGCGGCGCGGCGCTCGTGGGCCGTAAAAGCGGCCGCGGGCGTCGTCGAGTTCGAGGCGATTTTTCCTCGCGCGCGCGCGTAGCCGCGCGGTTGCGCGCGGGCCAACGCGGCGGCCGCCAGGAAAGACGCCGACATTATCGCGCTCGCAGAGCAGTTGCACGACCGCGGCGAAAGGCGCCAAGCCGCCACTTCGCGCGAGCGCGCGGCGCCGAGCCCGTGCGCGCAGGCCCAAAAGCGGCTCGATGGGCTCGAAGGGCGCGAAGGGCAGTCGGGCCCGCAGCCGCAGCCGCAGCCGCGAGAAAGGCAAGGGGTTCGGCAAGGACAAGGGCGGCAAGTTCAAAGGCGGCGAAGACCGCAAGCCGTTAACGCCGCCTCGCCCTGTCAAGAAGGCGCGCATCCTGTCCTGCTTACCCGCGTGGCACGCCGCGCCGGCGTCGCGCAAAGGGATGGCAACGTGCTATTCCGCGCCCGCGCTGCGACGTGGGCTTTCCGCGAAGTCGGCAGATATTGCCTTGGGAGGCGAGGGCAGCGCGTTGCTCGACCGCGCGGCGCGGCGCGTCAGCGGCGCACGAAGGTATGGCACCGCATTGTTCCGCGGCGGGCGCGCCCGCGGAATGCGCGAACACATCCTGTCGAGACCAGGGCTTCTCGTGCGAGGCCTTGCTCGGCTCGGGCCTTGCAATATCTCTTGCGCTCGTGTCCTGCACCCGCTCATCGGTCGAGCGTGGCAGGCGGCGTCGGGTAGCCACCGCGTCGGCGGCGTCGCGCGTCGAAGTAAGCAACGGCGGCAGCTATTGCGGCGTTGAAGGCGCGCGCGGGGCGCACGGCGACGCCGCTTTCATTCGGTTGCCTAGTGTCGGCGCGGCCACAACGGCCCCGCACCACGCCGCCGCCGCCGCCGCCGCCGAAGCGCCGGCGCACGGAGACGGGCGCGCCGCCCGTGCCGGCACCGCCCGAGCGGGGCAGCGCGAAGGCGAGGGCGCCGCGGGCGCGGGGGTGCGCACTTCCCTCGCGCGTCGTGGCAGGTGCAGCTCGGGCGCAGCGGTGGACGCCCGACATGGGCACGGAAAGAATGGGTACAATGCCCAACAGCAGGTCTTGCTCATTTTGAACGGGACTCGCTGTCGGTGCCGCCGCGGCCTGTGTACATTTGAGACAGAGGGCCGCCTGCCCAACAGCGGCCGCTGTTGGTTTGGGACAACATTTGTTGTTGGGCATTGTACCCATTCTTTCCGCGCCCATTTCGGGCGTCCAAATGGACTACCAACGCCGCCCAACCCGCCCGGGAAGGTGGCTGGGCGAGCCCCGTTTGCGCGCCGCGGGTCTCCGTCGCGCGCCAGGTCGACGGGGCGCGTGGCCCGCGCATCAAGGCGCCGCCGCCGCCGCCGCCGGCATTCTGCCAGTCGCTCCAGGGATGCGCGGCCGCATCCGCGGCGGAAGCCGACCAGCCGAAGTTGCTCGTCGCCCAATCGGCTGCAAAGAAGCCGTTCCCCGGCGCCACGGGCGCGGCCTTGGCGCCCGACATGCGCGCCGCCGTCGACTGGGCGCGCGCACGTTCGCCCGGTTCTAATTATCATGCGCGAACGCGAGGCGTGCGCGCGCCGCATCGAGGCGCGGGGTCGTCAGCTTGCTAGGAGCGGCGCAGTGTCGGCGCGGTTCAGGGGATGCGACCCGCAAGTGCGCAAAGTCTCGGCCCACGTGAACGGCCCACTCCTCGAAGAGTTGGTGGCCCAGGCCGCGCACCCAGATACGGATTGCGCCGAGGTTTTTCGCTCGAAAGCGCCAATCGTCGGCAAGCTCACCCGCGCAGGAATCGGCGAGGAGATCGCGCAAGGCGAGGCCCGCGATTTTGAAGCCCTTGTCAACAGGGCGCGCGAGGTAAACCTTGGCACCCCGCGCTCTCTTCGCGAAGACCCACACGAAGAGCGCCTCATGCGGAAGGCGCTTGGCGAAGTGGCTCCTGGCAGGCCCTCGACGCCAAAAGTGCTCGATCGCGCGGCTCTCTGCGAGACAGCAACATCGCGGCGATTTGGCGTGCCCCAGGTCGGCTAGAATGGCGACGCCAAAGTTCGGCCTGTGGACGACCTTCCGAAGTCAAAGGTAAATTCTGCGCGTTCGTTACCAGAGCGCGCAAAGCACGATGCCGCCGATCACCTGCACGCGTCGTGCGCGGCGCTGGCCGGCGGCAGCGGCGGCGAAGGCCTCGCGCCGTGAAAAGCGGGCGTGGATTCTGCGCATCGTCGCGCGCCGCCCTCGCCGAAGGACAGGCGCGCGGCCAAGGGTGCATGGCTGCACAACGGCGAGTGCATGGTGGCCGATCACCTAGCGCTCCCCTCTGGCGGTCGTGGCAGCGGCTACGGCTGGGGGCGGGTTGGCGCGGCCTTCGCGTCCATCTTGCGGCGCCTTGTGTTCGTTCCGCTTCTGCGTTTCGTCGATGATTTGTTCTCGGCGTGCTTCTGTGAAAGCGCACAGCACGCTATGTCGTGCGTGGCGCGCGTGGTCCGCGCAATTTTGGGGCCGTCGGCGATCGCCGACGCAAAGCTGGAGTGCGCCGCGCCACTTGTCGCCCTGGCCATTCAGGTCATCCTTTCAAGCGCCGGCATGCGCTGAGCGCCCTCCGCGGACAAGGTAGCGAAGTGGCGCGTGGCCCTGCGATAGGCGCGCGACACCCGCGCGCTGGCGCCGGGACAGGCGTCTGAGCAAGCGGGCGGTTTGTCCTGGGGCGCCACTCACATGTTTCACCGCCTCGGCCGGGCGATGCTGAGGCCGCTGTTCAAGCACAGCCACTCGTACGCAGCGCGATGCAGTCCCGACGCGGACGCAGCGCTGGAATGGTGGGAGGACGCATTGCGCCTCAACCTGGCGCGGGAGCGCGGTTCCACGCAGGCACCGGCAGCTCCCGCGTGGCTATTCGTTGATGCACGGAGTACGCCAGCGAGGATCGCCGCGGTGCTCGTGACCGATGGGCGCGCGCGGTGCTCCGACGTAGAACCGCCCGAGCGCTTCCCGCGGCACACTGGGGGGAGCATATCAAGGGCCGAAGTCTTTACGTTGCCGACGGGTGTGGCACGACACGCGCTAGGGGTGACCCGCAGGTGATTTTCATGGTGATGAGGACGGGAGAGGAGGATGAGGAGAACGATGAGGAGCAGGAGGAGCGAGGGAGGGAGGGAGGGAGGGAGGGAGGGAGGAGGAGGAGGAGGAGGAGGAGGAGGAGGAGGAGAAGAAGAAGAAGAAGAAGAGCGGCGCGGCGAAGAAAACATTGAACCGACCAAGACCACATGGAGGGTTAAGAACAAAATGCGTTGTCGTTTGCGGCCATGGGAGCGAAAACGGAAGCCTTCAAGAAATGCCCGCCGAAATTTGGGGCCACTGGGAGGGGGAGGGCGCAACTCCAGGCCGCTGGCCGTACATAGCGCTGGCGGGGTTCTCACATCGCACTCGCTGCCCCATCTTCTCCTCTTCGATCCTCCCCGCTGTTCCCACGCCCGCAGCCCACACTGACACGCAAGCGAAAGCGTGCTGACCCCGCGGCCCGTTCTGTGACGGAGCGCATGGCGAGCAGATCATCACACATCATGCACGTGTGTTGTCTTGTTTCTCATCCCTTTCTTGGCTGTTTGCGAGCGGCATGCCGAGGTAAGAAGTGGAATCACACACTTACCCGACCTCAGGGTGAGCCCAGCCTTTGTTTGATGAATTGCATGTTTGTTTGGCGTGGTCAGTATTGCAGTTGTCTCTCATTCGAGCGGGCATCGCGATGACATGCGTGATTGTGAGTGTACGGCACGGTGTGTGCGTGCATCAGACGAAGTTTTGTGGAAGGCGCTTCAACCATTCAGAAGATTGTTGCCGACAAGCCGAAATAGGCTGTGCTAGCAGGTTCGTACCCCTCTCACCCCTCCCGAAACTCGACGACTGCCGTACTTCTGGCGCAGGAGTTCGCATAGGCGACGAGTCAGGCCGCTGATCCCGCTGACGGGGATGAGGAGGAGGAGGAGGAGTCAGAAGCGACGGCGGCGGCGGCGGAGGAGAGGGGGGAAGGCAAGCTAGGTGCGCTCGCGTCATATCTGACGTCCTAACCCTCCCTCCCATCCCTTACTATGGCGTAGATCTCCTCTCTATTCGCACAGTCGGATGTCGTAGCAGAGCATAGCATTACATGGCATAGCGTGCTGCTGAAGCTCAACGCGTATCTTGACATAGCATGGCGTGGCGACGCCCTCAAGTGGGGGGTGGCTTCTGCGGTCAAAAAAAATCAACGAATCGACACCGAATGATGTGGAATCACGTCCGATGGTTGTTTCGGTGTAGATGTTGGGGCCTACTTGGATTGACCGAAAAGCATGTCGTGGCATGGCGCTGGAAATAACGACGCCAGCGCTGCAGCGGGAGCACGATTCGGAACGAGCGGAAGCGCGGAAATGAGGCCAGCGCTGCAGCGGGAGCACGATTCGGAACGAGCGGCAGCCCGACAATGAGGCCAGCGTTTCAGCGGGAAAGGCAACGGGGGAGGAAGACGAGGAGTTGGTGGGGAGCTCTGGCCCGAGGCTGGGCGACATCATACGGTCGGTTCGCCTCGTGTCGACGGGCGGCAACCCGAGCGCGGGCGTTTCAGGTTGAACACCGCTCGCGGCCCAGAATCGGCCCATGGTTGAACGTTTTGGCGTTTCTGCAACGGCCGACCGTTCGAGTTTGCACGATCACCGCAGCGTCAGGAACCAACGCTGGGGCCGTCACGACACGAACCTGCCGTACATGGATCCGCTCCCCGTGGACTTGCCGCCTTCGCCAGCCCGGGGGCAAGCGCACGCCCTGGAGGAGGCACAGCTTGAGTGCGCCCGCGTGCACGCGCCCGCTGGCGCCTCAGCCTGGGCCCCGCGCCCACGTGCTGCCCCCCAGACCCTGAGATTCGACGGCGCAAAAAAATGGAGGCATCGTAAAAACCCCGACCCGGAGCCCTAGACCCCATCTTCCTGCGCCACATCTTTCGGGCAGGATCGACTTGTGGGGATCCCAAGGCCCGAAGCCTGACGAGAGGAGGAGGAGGAGGAGGAGGAGGAGGAGGAGGAGGAAATGGTAGTGAGGCGCCAGGATCTCAGGGGAAGCCAGTTGCCCCGAGATCACCCCGCCCGGCCTCGGCCCCCCGTCTGGGGGCCCTCTTTGGACCGTTCTGGGCCCCTCTAGGGCGCCTCTGGGGCCGTCTTGGGACGAGCTCTGGGGCCTCTTGGGCCGCGTGGGCCCTTCTGGGACTGAAAAGGGCAGAACCAGATAGCAAAGAAAAAAGTTAAGAATTGAGGGCAACACAGTTTTCGGCCTCTTGGGCCGCGTGGGGCCCTCCTGGGACTGGAAAGGGGAGAACCAGATAACGAAAAAAAGAGAGAACAAAAAAAAACTAAAGAACAAACAAAAACAAAACAAAAAAAACGGGGGGGAAAAAAAAAAAAAAAAAAAAAAAAAAAAAAAACAAAAAAAAAAAAAAAAAAAAAAATGAGGGAAGCACAGTTTTTGGCCTCCTGAGGCCCTCGCGACCCCCTCGCGCCCCCGGAGAGCCGCCGCCGCCCAGCGGCCCACGGCCAGCGCCTGCCGTGGGCCCGTGCTCCCCACGGCGGGCGGGCCTCGAGCCGCGCCCTGGCCCCGGCCAGCCCCGCACGCCTCGGGACGCCCCAGACCCAGACGCCCTCCGGGCCTCGGAACAAATCAGCGGGCACTCACGCCGCATGCATCTGTCAACGCCTCCCCCCCTGGCATCGCTCGGACGTGTGCCTTTTTCCTTCGGCGAGGAGCACCGAGGAGCATCCTTGATCATTTCGCGGAAAAACCACGCACGAAACCGAAAAGAGCACAGGGACTGGACGTCCGAGCGATGGCGAGCCCCTCCCCCCAATGTTCAAAGTTGGCGGTGGGTCTGATGAGATGCACTTCGACCGCGGTCTCCCCCTGCGCGTGCCAACATGGAGTCTGGCCGCGAACGCCCCAGACTTCAGTCGGGCCTGTCCCTCTACAGGGGGAATGTTCCAAAATAGTCAAAAAAATAGCCTGGGGACTAATTGTTTAGTATTGTTTGGCCGTTGGGGGGAAATGTTTTGCCGCCACGCCGGAGCTCACGGCCCACGGCGGCACGGGCCAGCCGCTCGCGGCGGCGTGCGTCCCCCGTCGTGGTCTCTCCTCAGGGGCAACTTTCCAGGGGGGCATCGGCTCGGGGGGGAAGGCATCGACGCCCCCTATCGCCCGTGCATCGCCGACAGGGGGCTGGGTGGTTTTCGAGCGTCTGGAAGAAATATATGGGGGCCTCTTGTGACCCTCGCGGGGCCGTTTAGCCGCGCTGTTGACCGACCCGCTGCCGAAAATAGCCTGGGGACTATTTGTTTAGTATTGTTTGGCCGTTGGGGGGAAATGTTTTGATTTTTTTAGTTTTCACTGAAAATCCCCTTGCAGGGGGATATATTAAAAAAACAAAAAAAAAAAAAAAAAAAAAAAAAAAAAATGGAAACTATGTTTTGTATTTTCTCAATTTGGGAGTATTGTCTGGTTTTTTTTATTTTTCGCCCAAAATCCCCCTGTAGGGGGACGCGCCCCACTTAAATCACAGACCCAGACCCCCTCGCGCTGTTCGAAAATCGCGACGGGAGGTTTTTCGCGACTCCCGGCTTCCGGGGGCGCTCGTTGGGCCCTCGGGGCCGTCGCAAAGCGGCTCGGGAGGGAGAACCAGCCCCCTGGAAGGGGTCCAGACCTCCAGGGGTCGACGTTGCGAAAAAACATCACGACGCCGGAGATCGGGGGACTTCCGCGCCATTCCCCCTGGCCTGCGAGCCCGCAGCCCCTGACCCAGACCGAGGGGATCGGGAGCGAGACAAGGGCGCACATGTGCATGAAGCCGCGCTGGTTTTTGAGAGCACGCCTTGCGCGAGCGTTCGCGTCACGCGGCCGTTCTCGCGGATTGGGGGGCCGTGTTCACGTACATGGTTGGGCGCGTACCTTTTCTGCGGGCTCCCTGGGGTAAGACACACCTGCGACGGTCGGTTCCCGGCCGCCTTCGCGTCGCCAGGGCGGCGGGCGCGTGTCAGGCCACGGCGCGTGTCTGGGCAGGGGCTGTCGAAGGATGCGCCCAGGCGCGCCCCGCCCGCTCGACTTCATGACGGTGCCACCGCGCGGATCCTTGGAGGTCCAGGCCGTTTCCCAGGACCAGCGCTTCGCCCCGACCCGGTCTTGTTGCCAGCCCTGGGGCCCGGCAAGGGCTTCCCCGTGGGCCGAGAGCGGGGAAGAATGATCTGGCGGGATGATTTTAATGGTTCATGGCGTAAGGATGTCGGTGTCGTTGTCGTCGTCGCATTCGTCGTCGCCGTCGCCCTCGTGGAACTTCTCCTGGATGGACTGCACGCTACTGGAATGCCCTGCCCGACCCGTCGGGGATCACCGTCCGCCAGACCGGCGCAGCGCAGCGACGTCGACCGCCCAAGTGGCGCCTGAGCGGGTCCCGCGTGGCCTTGCGATTGCCTTCTCGTCCCTTCTCCTCCACCTCCACCTCCATCCTGCTCGTCTTGCCCGCACCCTCCTTCTCCTTCTCCTCCTCCTCCTCCTCCTCCTCCTTCTCCTCCTCCTCTTCCACCTCCATCTTCTCCATCTTGCGCGCAAGCCCCTCCGGCGTGACGGGGAATAGCATCACGGTTCCCACATCCACTTTGCGGTCGAGTGGTGGGATGTCGCGCACTTTGGCGCGCACCAGCGCTGCGGCTACCAGCAACGCGACGCTGAGCAGCATGCTGGTGGCCAGGTGAGGGAGCGTTCCCTGCCACGCCTGCTGCCTTCGGGGCCGTGAGCGGTCCTTTCTCCTCCTCCTCCTCCTCCTTCTCCTCCTCCTCCATTCCTTCTCTTCATAGATAATTCATCCCTGTCGCACCCCGAGGCCAGTTTTTAGGGCGGGCCGGGCGTTTCGCTTGAGACTTCCTCATTATCTATGGCCCTAAAATTCAAAAATGGGCAACAGCTTCACACATGGAGGGCGGGTCGTTTTCAAAATGTGGCTCTCGCCTTAGCGCCGCGCCTATTCGTTGTCAAAATTTGCAAGAGTTTCACGGATTGAGGGCGGGTCGTTTTCAAAATGTTGTTCTCGCCATAGCGCCGCGCACATTCGTTTTAAAATTGTGCAAGATCTTTACGGATTGATGGCGGGTGGTTTTCAAAATGTGGCTCTCGCCATAGCGCCCCGCTCATTCGTTTTCAAAAATTGCAAGAGTTTCACGGATTCAGGGCGGGTGGTTTTCCAAATATGACTCTCACCTTAGCGCCGCGCACATTCGTTTTTTAAAGCATCCCAGTGCGACCCTACCTAGGAGTTGGAGCATCTAGGAAAGCAACATCTACATCTACACCGACAGCTACATTAACATCTACACCTGCATCTACATCTACATCAACATCAACAACGAGACTCACATCTACATCTACACCTACATCTACACCTACATCTTCATCTACATCTACATCCCCATATGCACCTACACCTACATATATGCTATGCTATGTTATGCTGTGCTATGCTAAGCCACTATGATGATCATGTCCGAGGTATGCATAGCTATGCATAGCAATAGCACAGCTTACTATAGCACAGCGCAGCATAGCATCACGATCATGCT